ATGGGCTGCACATCAAATGAAAATGAGAAAAAGGGTATCACGTCCAGTTCTAATGAAAGTGGAAATAGGGTAATCAATTAAACCGAAAAATACCGAGAATCCGGTTTCCCCCGGTGTCACATGGCACGATTCTCTAAAACTACGGGGGGGGGGGGGGGTTCAACGCAATAGTCGGATAAAGAAAATTGATGTAATTCGGGTGCAGTCAATGATAAGACATTGTCAAACTGAACAATAAGCTGGTTATCTTAGCGATTTGCGAATCCTTGACGAACCCTGTGCACAGAATCCCACTTCATTTGTTAGAATCGGTCAGAAGCTGACGCAGAGCTTGGTTTTTGTTAAGAAACTCATGGTCTGGATGGTTTGGGGCCCGAGCTAGGAGTCGAAGTGCGAGATGCAAAACAGATCATCACAGTCACACCCAACGGATTCATTCAAACGTGTTTTGAATAAAACTAAATATCGGCATGAAAATAACAGGTGTAACGCCTACGGATGCGTCAAACGAGGGGGTGGAGGTGGATGAGGTCATTGCATACAGTCATGTATTGCTTATTGTTGTAGAGCAGGCCAGTAGTGCATTCTTAAAATCTAACTCACAAAGCACACGACGGAAGTATGAAATTGTATAGGTGTTTGAAAGAATTAGCATCTCTGAGCGCAATGCGAAAACAGTCACTTCTGAGTGGGCGGATGAAACTTAATGCCTGATCCAACGGTTATGAAGAAAGCCTGGTCAACTAACAGGGAGGTAAGGACCCCTGGGTTGCAGTGACCGAGGGGTTAATGGGCTCCCACATTTGATTCAAGAGAATCATGCTCGCATTCGCGTCTGGGCATGGTGGCCGACTAATCGATCCATCTTGTCGTGATTCGCTTCCTTACCCGACCGACCGACAGAGGTCAATTAACTCAGGATTTGTTCATTCGTATCTATGGCGCACACTTGCGGAGAGAACGGTCCACCTCACTCCACCGAAACATTCATTCTTGCTCGGTAACTCACTCAAAAGTACTTTTGTTTGTCTACGGAGAAGTTATTTCATTCGGGCTGAACGGGGTTCAGACAAACCCGGCCCAATCGGTGACATTTGACGGCCGAAACACCAATCATCTTGCGGGGTTTCAATGGAGTGCGATTGGTTGGATACGGCGGATTCACTTGAAGTTACTGTGAATATATCGTTCGTTCGACCAGAACATTACACAACTAGATACATCGAATTGGCCGCGTAATTCCACATTTTGGTCAAGGGTAAAATCTTGCAGTTCAATGATAGGTGCTTAAACCCGAATTCCATTTTAGTGAAGCTGTTAGACGTAGTTCAAGGATAACAAAGAAAATCAAAAAAGGCTGAGTAGTTTTTTAAATTTTAAACAGATCCAAGTTGATGGGCGAAACATGTGCATCGTTGGATGTGCGCACCTAGTTTATGGTGGGACATTGGAACTCCGACTCCGACGAGCATTGGCACTTCACATTCGTTGTCCAAACATCAATGTCACTTAAAGCAATCTGTGATTTGGTTTGACGAAACTCGAAACATGTTTTCTGAGCATGGAATAATAACGAAAAAAATTGTATCAATGGGTTAGTCAATAGATACTCAGCTATTGTTTTGGTAAACAACACGTGATACTAAGTGAAAAATCAGTGAAAATCCGCGGTGAAATGTGTTGTGGCGATAACTAAAAGAAAACACATGCAGAAATGGTTACCTAGGCTAGATCACACATCGATATTGTCAAACGAAGAAGTGTGGTGAACCAGAGAACATCTGTGTTATTTTCGTAATCTGCCGCTTTCATACTTATGAAATTCCTCTTCATCCATCGGAATGGACTTATTAATAACAATCGTCATAACTCCATCACAGTGTGAAACGCACGCACTGCAAGCACCAAGCTTGGACTATAAAAGAAAAGCTAGAATTAGGGAACGGACGGAGAGCGAACGACGGTCAAATAGCAACATCCGGTGTGAGAGTTGTTCATTTTAAAACTAAACGGCTAAGCCAGACTAGGCACTTGCAGACAGGTAAGTGGGACGGTGTTTATTGCAGTCTATTGAAAAGCTAAGATAATACACCTTATCGATAACTCAAAATTGTTGATGTCTAATGCAACTGAACGAGAAAACAACCCAACAGATATGGGAATTCTTTGATTCATATTTTTACACCTGAGTCCTGTTCAAGAACAATTCAGCTTCCTGGTTGGTTATCTCACATTGTAGTTTTCCACGCGCAGTGGTTGGTGAGATCGTCGGTGTAGATAATGGTCTAATCCTGTTAACATGGCTACGGATACGGATACATGAGAGTCAGAGATAGTTTTCAGTCACAAATTAGGTAGGTGTCCAGCCGTGTTCATCCGTTTTGGCCTGGGCAACCTAGTTGTATTCCATTGAGAAGCAAATCATGGATTGATTTCCTTGCTTTGGAAATCATCGTACCGTGATCTATTGGGCACACATTCACAAATCAGTTATGTGTGACAAATAATATACCTAAGTTTAGAGCTGGTTCATAAACAACAATTCTCAAAGCAGATCAGTAGATAAACGTCTGGTTCACACCTGAGACGTTGCAATCTTGGCATAGAAAAAAAATCAGGACGGTTTCTGGATAAGAGTGAGAATAAGCTGGTCACAGCCAAGAATTACTCTGCATGAGACCACTGACAAAAACGTGAACTGCATTGGGAATAGAAATATTGGAGCAGAGTTCTGGGAATGGCGATTTTATTGTGGATTTGCGACAGGAATGCCTGGCGAAAGGTGAATATATGGTGGTTGACAACCTAAATTAGTCACTGTTTATGTGCGGTACGCAATTGACGGAGTATGAGATAGAATGTACATTAGCAGACCTTCGTTTGGGCAATGTGAGCTGAGACTGAGAATTACGGAACTCGGTATGTGCAGGAAATGAGATCGCAACGGAATCAAGGACGAATATACAGACTCCGACTTCGACAGCAAAAAGGCGAGATAGATGAAATTAGCCATAAAAGTGAAACTGGATTTATCTGATGGATACCGATAGCCAAAGTAGGTGAAGAAAATGAATCTAAAGCAAAATGCGGTCGACAGAGAAAGAGAGAAATCCGTGTTTCAGTGAGGATCAAAAGTGTGTGTGTACTAGAAAGCGAACCAGGCAAAGAAGTCAATTTCGTAAACTAGTAAAAGACCGTTAGTCCGAACTTGAACAGTTTGCCGGAGGCCTGTTTAGTTCCGATAGATCCACGTGGCATTGAGGGGGGGNGGGGGGGGGGGGGGGGTACAAGAGGTTCAAATTTAACTGACCGACAAAGGGATTTACTAAACTGTTGATTGTCATCCATTCTGGGTGTCTTGAACCAGTGACATTACCATTGTGATGGACTGTCGATGCCCTCTATTGAAGAGTAAGGATTCATACAAAAAGCCACACATTGAATCTATAAGTTTGTCCGACTATTTAGGCTGACAGTAAGGGACCGACCCACCGATGAACCAAAAACCCAATCGGGCGGCGAGCATTACAGTAGGACCCCATTAAATAGACAGATGGAAGTAGCGTCTAGATCGCGGTTTACTCAACCGAATTTGCAGGGAACGGTAAAATTGTAGCGTGGTTACGCAACAGCACAACTATGAATGTACCCGCTAACATATTACATCAGATAGTGCTGTCTGTACAGAGCTGAATCACCTTTTGTCACATACGATATGGTTGTTAGCATGGGTGAACGCGCACAGGGAACAAGGTGACGTGTGTGCGTGTGATACAGGAAGAGTAGATGTTAAATGAGAGGAACTTGGTGAACCGTGTGAGATACCACACGCAGACACACACACTCAGTAGAGTCCATCTTTTGATGCAAGAATCAAAAGAGGAAAATGAGAATCTTAGAGTGATACGATTAGTAACGCATACGTTCTGCGGAGTTATGACATTTCAGGGTCAGTGTGGTCGTAATTAAATCACATAATTGATTTTGCGTGTACATATAAATATACACGGCGCCAAAACAACCACAGGTTGAAAGAGAAATAGGATAAGGGGAAAACCAAAATGTCAGTTTTGGGGATACCGACTTTTTGTTGTTTACTGGTTGTCTTACTTTCGGAATTGGATACAGGGAAAGTTGCCATCGGGCCACCGACTTCGGTTCAATGTCATATCCCACCAAAGACAATCGAAATCTGTATGACAGTTGCAGTCAGTTTTGTGACCACCATTAGGATGTGGATTCGATGAACTTTGATTGAATGCATTAGACTGGGCTATTATTACAACGGTTTACAGTGGAATGATTAAGTATTTCCCACCGAGTATTACAGTAGAAAAACCACTAGCTCATGATATTTCGGCTTGGTACGACTTGTCCTTGGGAGATGAACACGAGAGAGTAAACGGCACACCACTATCGGTTTCAGTGTAATTATATGATAACATGAAAGTTTTGCATTCCACCAAACGAAAGTGGTCCACAATGATGAGGCCTAGGTATAGAGATTATAGACTATTTCAGCAATCATTTTGAATGTAAATTCGTTTTAAAAACACCAAACGTAAGAATCAAATGAGCTTACAACGTGTCGAACACTGACAATCAATCGTTCTCACGAAATGGAAACAGTGGGAGGCCCCCAGAACAACCCACACGGCATCTGATTCAACGGTTAACGGAAGAAAACCGGTCTATATGTATTGGACAAGGGAACATGCGTTCCTCACCAATAGATGAGGAGATGCTTGATGAATCAAAATACATAACTCGAAAGTGATCATCACGGTGAATGAGAAGTAATGGGCAATTGCATTTTTCAGTACAATAAACCACTGAACGTCAACCTGTCTGACCTGTTGTACCGGAAAGTTCAACCATCACCAATACTGCATACTATGACTACAGCGCTAGAAGACCGGACAACCGGAACTATCGACAACATACATTCAACCACCTGCGACCAAGCCGGCACACACAAACTCCGTCATGGACAGAAAGGATCACATAACACGTACCACGGGGTCGTCACGCATGCCAACGGCATGACGGATTTCTCCCGGCTAGAGCGAGGGAGCGGTGATTTAGGATGCATAAGGATGTGTTGCCTTATCGGCCCGGAACCGAGAAGAGACGATGGCATACAACCAAAACGTGCGCGCACAGGTGCATGGACGTACCCGTCCGTATGCATGTGTGTGCGTGCGCGCAAATGTGCGTAACGTATCGTGCATGGACTTTCACTTACGATCACATCGAATTTGGCGTAGATATCGACCAGACGACCATCGGAATCCACAACGGGCAAAGCAGAAACACGATGGTCGATAAAAAATTGCAAGGCTCGATGAAGCGGACAATCCTGACTGACTGTGATCACTCCGGACACGGTGCCTAAATTCAGATCCCGCAGTTTTTTCCGCATGAATGATGGATAGGGAAGTTGGTTCAACTGAGAGAGAGCACGAAAGCAGATTAAAAAGTGGACGATATGAATGAAAGCGTGCAGAAACAGAAATGTAAATGAGAATAGAAAAAATGCATTTTGACCGTCAAAAGTAGGCAACAAGCGGGAATAGGAACTCACCTGCCTGAAATGGTAATAAAGTAGATCTCGTCGTGTAGGCTGGACGAGCACGAGTCATGTGCAGAGCACATTTTTCTAAAGGAACACCCGTTACTTGTGTTTTTTCCCCTACCGACACAAGAAACAATATTCCACCAATAACACCAGGTAATGACGTGGAAGGTAATTATTCGATGCACAAATTAACTTTTTGGTACGATCGATAAGCAACATGTTACGTAGGGCGGTCCGAGTCGCCTTGGCATACGGAAGAAACAGATGCATGCCAGAAAGGAGGGGGTTCGGTTGTGGTTTTGTAATGTTCATTGACTGATGGACACACTTTGTGATGTCCGCAATGCAACTCCGTTAAAGGGGGGAGGGGGCAGTGATTAGATGCCAGATGGGGAAATAAAATACAGCGAATAATGACAGTGCAAATGACGGGTTTAAACGACCATTTGTCTTCACACAAAAAACATAAAAATCTGATACGTGCTACAAAGGATATTAGTGTCAAGGTGCTAGGCTCAATGAAATACGAATAAGTGTCACTGTGTGTAACAGTGTATTGTAATTCCCCGAGTACACAACAAAACATCGGAAGAGAATGTGGTCCACTAATGGTCCCAGGAGCAAGACGTCCTGAGAATTGGAATAATAATAAAAGGCGTTTCTAAGTGATATCAATGCCGTTCTCTTTGCTAAATCCCGGGGTAGAAACGAAGCGTCCGAGCATTTCGATCACATTGAAATCCAATAAGGTTCACAAATGCGCTGATCAGGGTTCGGAATGAAAGGACGGTGACAGGCAGACGACTCTGAGACGAAAGAAAATTAGAATATTTTGGAACACAGCGGGAATTCGATCGTTAGTGAATTTAACCATCCCAAAAGGATCGCCAACGAAACCTGAATGATATGTTAAAAGATTATTCCTGGGTATACTTATCATCGACTATGAGCACCTGGCGGTAGAACAACAAATTTGGACGATTAAAAAGTTATCTGTGACTTGAAAGATTCATAATTTTTTTCAAATTTTTAATTAGCATCAATGTCAATTGCGCATCTATTCGCTCTAAGTTTCGAACATATTCGTGTAGTATCCTCATCAATTGTATAGATGCATCCATTTTGTTCTTGGCTGTCCTCAACGCGATATCAATCACATTCAAGAAATGTAAAACTGAACAGAGAAATATTTCCAGTTGAACTACATGTCACTCATTCACTCTGAAATGCGACACTCGTAGTTGCACTGATTGAAAGTGATAACCCGAGCCTTGTGGATTTTGATCGCCATTTTTTGCACCGCCGAATGCGTCGTTATACCTCTTGGTGGCTGACAACCTTTCTTGGTCCCATCTCATCAAGAACAGTCGTGATCAAGTTCATGAGCTATCTTTGAACGCATTCGGAAACATAAGATATAGGGTTTTGCAGCAAAATGGACTTATATTGTTGATTAAAGGGATTAGAAACTGCCTGAAAATTTTCAGAAAATTAAAACTAAATTACATTTAACTGGATTGCTTGGTCAACTTAAATTTAACTCCATGACTGCCTCCACCTCCTGCACTATTATATATTTTTTCCGTAGACAGAGAGACGCCTGCCCTGAACTCTGCAAAACACGGCTCCCCAGCACGGACCATTGTTAACGTGATGCACTCACGCGCAATAATCAATACCAATTCAAACGTTACATATAAGAATAACATTTCTTACCAGATGCACAATCACTGAACTACATCTTTTCCCATCAAGCTTTAGCTCAAGCCAGCGGTCATTAGCCTCGACGCACAAACTTTAGTCACAGCGATATAGGCGAGTCAGATCAAAAAGTATCAGGATATACTCTGAGGTCAGCGAATGTTGAAACATTTTATTTTCTACCAATCAAAACGTGGTGCATCATGCGACCAGCACACCTCATTTCNAACATGGGTGGAAAATAACTCTTCAACATTGATTGACCTCAGAGTATATTTCCATACCTTTTGATCTGTCTAGTCTACAGCGGTATGACTGAAATTTGTGCGTCAAGGCTAAGGGACGTGTCGTGGCTAAGGTAGGGTTGGTTTTGGCTAAAGGATTACGGAACGAGGCTATAGCACTGCTAGTTTTGCCTAAAGCTTGATGGGGAAAGGTGTATTGTCGCTTTTGCTGAAACCCGAAGGCACTACTCGACGGCTTCTCTGTTGTCGTTTCGCCTTTCAAGTTTAACGTCCGCGTTACTTTGCATTACAGGAGATGTTCAAGAAAATTCACTATTGGGGGATACGCTAACCTTCTATTGGTTCGTTTAGATCCTCGGCAGAGCAGGAGGACGGGCTGATGAGCGCGGCTAATCGTGAATGAGGTGAGCTTAGGCCGTCGAATAAGCGGTCACGGATTATCACCGGCAGCGCTCGAGGATATGTTGGGCTTACCTTNCCTCACAAAACACCTCAAAAATTTATGAACAGCAATAGGACATCGCGAGTGTGCAACGCCACTAAATATTACCATCGCTCCCTCACCAGATTCTTTCTTTGGAAAGATTTTCCAGAACAGGCGAATGAACCAAATACTAACCACCGGCACATCTGACAAACCGCTGCTGCCTTGTGGTCCGCGCTTGGTTACGCAAAGCCTAGAGTGCATTCAAGGGCAAGGTCTACTCTGAACCGGGCGAACGAGTGGTCCAATAACCAACAACGCACACAACCATAACCTTTCCTGTTCTAATCACTCTGCACTTTGAAGCTTCCTCATTCAGCGAAAAACATTTTACACCGTATATACCCTCATACTGCCCCAGCCTTTTCTCCAGGGCGAATGTCAGACGATCAAATTGCTGGAACGCCACTTGTTATTAGCTCTCTTCGAGCCCGCAACGAAAGCAAATCGACCACATCGCTATA